TCTGGTCTAGCTATACTTATGAGCTAATCCTGCCTCAGTATTCGGCCGGGGAGGGAAGAGGAAATAGACTAGATAATCTTGAGGTCCAAATTTGAGGAATATCTTTTTACAGTGAGCTCCAAAGGCTAACTTTGTGATATATATAAAAATATTTCCTTTCTGATGTTAAATTGTTGCCTTTCAGTTTCATTGACTGATATGAAGTGCATTGGGATAACATACTTAGGGATCTAAAGGCAGATGACGCCTGGAATTATTTCAAATTGAAGATGCATGAGCTGTCCGAGGCCTGTATACCAAGAAAGGGAAAACGATTAGTAGGCAGGAGATTTAGACCTAGCTGGATGAGTGGGCGTCTCAAAGGAGCAATTAAGAAAAAACAGAAAGCATACAAAGAATGGAAGAGGGGAGGGATCAGCAAGGAAACCTACCTTATTGAGGTCCGAGCATGTAGGGATGCAGTGAGAAAGGCCAAAAGCCGTGTAGAGTTGGACCTTGCGAGGGGAATTAAATCAAATAGTAAGAGGTTTTATAGCCATATAAATAGGAAGAAAACAAAGAAAGAGGAAGTGGGACCGCTGAAGAATGTAGATGGAGTGGAGATTAAGGATAATCTAGGCATGGCACAATATCTAAATGAATATTTTGCATCAGTCTTTAATAAGGCTAATGAAGGGCTTAGGAATAGAGGGAGCAGGACAGAGGGGAATAAAGAAGGAGGGAATGACATTACAGTATTAGAGGTGGAAGCTAAACTTCAGCAGCTAAACAGGACCAAATCGGGCGGACCGGATGATCTTCATCCTAGAATATTGAAGGAAGTGGCACAAGAAATTGCAAGCCCCTTAGCGATAATTTTTAATGAATCTGTAAACTCGGGGGTGGTACCGTTGGACTGGAAAATAGCTAACGTGGTTCCTATTTTCAAGAAGGGGAAAAAAAAGTGACCCGGGTAATTACAGGTCTGTTAGTTTAACTTCTGTAGTATGCAAGGTCTTGGAAAAAATTTTGAAGGAGAAAGTAGTTAAGGGCCTTGAGTTGAATGGTAATTGGGACAAATTACAACATGGGTTTACGAAAGGTAGATCGTGCCAAACCAACCTGATCTCCTCCTTTGAGAAAGTAACAAACCTTGTAGATAAAGGGAATGCGGTGGATCTAATATACCTCGATTTTAGTAAAGCATTTGATACGGTACCGCATGAGGAATTATTGGTTAAACTACAAAAGATGGGGATCGATATGAAAATCCAGAGGTGGATAAAGAACTGGTTAAAGGGGAGACTGCAGCGGGTAGTACTGAAAGGGGAACTGTCAGGTTGGAGAGAGGTCACCAGTGGGGTTCCTCAAGGTTCGGTTTTGGGTCCGATTTTATTACTGACCTCGGAACCGAATGTAGGAGTGGGCTGATAAAGTTTGCGGATGACACAAAGTTGGGAGGTATTGCTAATTCGGAGAAGGATCGGGATATTCTGCAGGGAGACTTAGATGACCTTGTAAATTGGAGTAATAATAATAGGATGAGATTTAATAGTGAGAAGTGTAAGGTGATGCATTTAGGGATGACTAACAAGAATTTTAGTTATAAGCTGGGGACGCATCGGTTAGAAATGACGGAGGAGGAGAAGGACCTCGGAGTCCTGGTTGATCGCAGGATGACTATGAGCCGGCAATGTGACGCGGCTGTTAAAAAAGCTAATGCGATCTTGGGATGCATTAGGCGAGGTATTTCTAGTAGGGGCAAGGAGGTGCTCCTTCCGTTATACAAGGCGCTGGTGAGACCTCATTTGGAGTACTGTGTGCAGTTCTGGTCTCCAATGTTTAAAAAGGATGAATTCAAACTGGAACAGGTACAGAGAAGGGCCACTAGGATGATCCGAGGAATGGAAAACCTTTCCTATGAAAGGAGACTCGAGGAGCTCGGTTTGTTTAGCCTAACCAAAAGAAGGCTGAGGGGGGATATGATTGCTCTCTTTAAATACATCAAAGGGATAAATACCAGGGAGGGAGAGGAATTATTTCAGCTCAGTACTAATGTGGACACGAGAACGAATGGATATAAACTGGCCGTGGGGAAGTTTAGGCTTGAAATTAGACGAAGGTTTCTAACCGTCAGAGGGGTGAAATTTTGGAACAGCCTTCCGAGGGAAACGGTGGGGGCGAAAGACCTCTCTGGCTTCAAGATTAGGCTAGATAAGTTTATGGAGGGAATGGTTTAATGGGATAACGTGATTTTAGTCAATTAGGTAATAAAGTGCCATCGCTGGTAAAATGTGGGTCTGGCTAGAGAATCTTGCCTGTATGCTCGGGGTTCTACTGATCGCCATATTTGGGGTCGGGAAGGAATTTTCCTCCAGGGTAGATTGGCAGAGGCCCTGGAGGTTTTTCGCCTTCCTCCGCAGCGGGCAGGGGTCGCAAGCTGGAGGATTCTCTGCGACTTGAAGTCTTTAAATCACGATCTGGAGACTTCAACAGCTGAGTTAAGGGAAAGTAGGTGGGTCAGCTTTTGTGGCCTGCATCATGCGGGAGGTCAGACTAGATGACCATAATGGTCCCTTCTGACCTTTAAGTCTATGAGTCTATGAGACTATCCCCTTGTATTATGATGCAGATAAACAGGAGGGTTTGATTTTCTTTCTCATAACTAATAATTCATTTGTATACCTTTATCATGTCTCTTCTTATTTGTCTCATCTTTAAACTATATAGTCCCAATCTTTTCAGTTTCTCTTCAAGTGGTGGAAGCCTTTCCATTACTTCTAATCATTTTGTCACATCTCTGGTCCTCTTTGCTTTCTGTTTATATAATTTTTTAGATAGAGTGTCTAGAACTGAACACAATATTCCAGGTGAGAGCATGCCGCTGATTTTATATAGTGCCATTGCAATTTTCACTAATATTTTCTAGCCTATTCTATATACATCTTACCATTTGGTTTGCTCAGTGTGCATTGGTGGTCAAAAAAGCAGAAGTTTTCATTAAGCTAGCCAGTATTTTCCTGAATAAATACAGTTAATTTAGAAACTAGCAATGTGTATGAGTAATTGAAGTGATTCCTGCCAGTGTGCATTACTTTGCATTTGTAACACTGAATTTCACTGCCTCACCTAGTTGTGTGTAGGCCTCTCTGAAATTCTTCAATGTTTGCTGGTCTTGACTACTCTAAACAAGTTGTCATCTGAACTATTGCAAGTTTTTAACCTGATTGACTAAAGATGGCCAACTACAGGACAGTCCTCTACAGGTTGGGCAAGTTATTTGGAAATAGCTGCAAACTGTAACCTTAATAGGGCACAAGGATTATATTTCCACATTGTAAGATGGAAGTTAATTTTAAAGACATTCCAGCACATAACATTAACGCATAATAAAGGGGCAGGAGTCTTCATTATAAACCAAGTTTTTCAGGGTATTACAATGAAGCAATTTAAATTTGCACCAAGCTAAGACGTGATACGGCAGTCATCAGCCTAGCTGTTAATTTCTTTCTAAATTTTGGTTTAATTGTATAAAGTATTTTGAATGGCTTTATTTTTGAGCTACTCAAAGCAAACAAAATGTATAATTCGAAAACTGACATTTTGCGGGCATTAGTTCTTAATGCTTTGGTTGGTATTTTGATACTGAGATAAATTTAACCTGACAAATGTGATTTCACAGGCATTAGTTTTTCATAACTTTTAGAACAAACTAGACATTGCCAACATCATACAATAAAATCGTAGCTGTTCCATCAAGGTCCAACTGACAAAGTAGCAGCTCCAAAGACATCAGTTAAGATATTATACTCGTTGGCCCCAATTCTGCAAATAGATATGCTAACAAGGGACCCTTGAGGCTGCACAGAGGCCCACTGATGTCAGTGGACTCCGCACAGGTGTTAGCAGAACCATATCTACTTATAGGATAGGGGCCATTGTCACTATGAACTTTGATATATCAGGAAGTTTTGACGGGAGGGAGGTTTTAATTCTCATTTTCATCCTTAAAATGATCTCTATGAAGATAAGGTTTTTAAAATCCGTTCTTGTGGAGGGAGAAGCTTTACCACACACACTCACTCACTCTTTCTGCAGGGGCCAGTCAAAACTGCTGTAGCCTATGCCTGGCTGCTCACAGAATCCATCCCAGCAGCCAGTGATCGCTGGGAGCAGAGGGACACCTACACTTTGTCCTCTTTCACCTAGCTATGGCCCCATACACTGGGGTGTAACAGAACTATCCTAGCAGCTCTATGCCATACAATGATTCCTCATACTCAGATGTACTCCTAAAGGAGTTGGATCTGTCAAGTGTTTGGTGGCTTTGTACAAACTGGAGCTTCAAAAGAAACCAGAGAAGGCCCAAGAACAGGTCCCTGTATTTTGTAAAATATGAGGTTTACACTGGATCTGCACTCTTAGCACAGAAGTGACAGAAATTCTAATAGAGTTCTAAAGCTATTAAATTGACTCATCAGACAGCTCAGGCCTAGAGCCCTGCAAACCTGCGGATAGCCACGGACCATGTTTGCGGATCGGATGGGAATACAAATTTTGTATCCGCCTAGGGCTCTACTCATGTCTAGTCTTGCTGAGGAAACCCCTATCTATTGATTCCTTTTTCACTGCTGATTGTTGTGGCACATCTCTTTGGCTTGTTCACCTGATTTATCAGGCTCCCTCAGGTGTGGTTTTGTTTTTTTATTGCCTGTAACTATTCCCCACCCACCACATAGCTTTTTATATTAGGAGACAAGAGCTCCGCCCACTTTCAAATGTTGAGCATTGAATGTATTGTGTGCTCTCTCTCATATTCTCTGTCTAGAGGTCTTAAAAGCAGCCCAGTTGCTTTATACTTGGGGCACATAGACATGGCCACTGCCTGAAGTATATCTTGGTTCAATATCTGACTTGTGTAAGCTTTGTTTGGATATGAATGCTGAGGGGTTACATTTTACAACACTGAAATAAACAGATAAGTCTATTCTGGAGTCTGAGATCTTACTTTTTCCCCCTAGAAGGTGAGCCTATAGAAGCGATAGCCAAGTTTGACTACATTGGAAGATCTGCACGAGAACTCTCCTTCAAAAAAGGAGCCTCCCTGCTTTTATATCATCGAGCATCTGAAGACTGGTGGGAAGGAAGGCATAATGGAATTGATGGCCTAGTACCTCACCAATATATAGTGGTGCAGGATATGTAAGCATGTCTAGTTATATAATATACTTGAGTGATTGCTTCTTGTTGGGAAGAAGCTTGTTGAACTAGCTAGTGGGGTATCTCCCAAATGTGAGAGGGCTTTGAAGGCTTTGAAGGCTCATAAACACCTGGGAGATTTTGCCTCCAAACTGGGCAAGAGGTGACATGAGTGAAGTCAATAAATAAATAGGTCATCAATGAGAGTTCAGCAGCTGGAGATGCAATTATATGTCTAGTTTTAATTCTCTAAGAGGACAAAAACAGAAGAGCCATGATGCCTGCTGTCCTACTTCCTGGAAAGTGACTTCTCAATCTATATCTTCCTTTCAGGGATGATACCTTCTCAGATACATTGAGCCAAAAAGCAGACAGTGAAGCCAGCAGTGGGCCAATAACTGAGGACAAGTCCTCATCCAAGGATATGAACTCCCCAACTGATCGTCATCCTGACATATATTTAGGAAGGTAAGGTTAACATAGCAACATTTCTGCATTGCTTTGCAGCCGTTAGATTGCTTCTGGGCTCATGCAGTGGCAGGATTTCTTCACACACACCTTGTTAAAAATGCTAACTTATCCTTTGATTTCTACATTTGTGTAGGCAAAGAAAGAGATCAGAACCACCTCCTCTAAGACGCCCAGGCAGGACCAGTGATGGCCATTGCCCAGTACATCCACCACACACACTCACCAACTCATCAGTGGAGCTAGGTTCCCCCAACATGGCAAGTCATTGCAGTCCTCGAGCCCTTCTTCACAATCGCAACCTCAACGCAGACAGCCCCGAAAGGCGACGTAGACCTGGGCATGGCAGCCTCACCAACATTAGTAGGCATGATTCACTAAAGAAGACTGATAGTCCTCCAATTAGAAGATCTACATCATCTGGTCAATACCCAGGTTTCAATGACCATAAGCCACTGGACCCAGAGTCAATAGCTCAGGTTGGTCTCTTTTCTTTGCCTTGGTGAGGAGCATGGTCAAATAGATGTAAATGAACATTTGACTTTCACAACACAGAGAGTTTATTTTTTTATTGAAAAGCTGTATCAGAAAAGTATCCCACTTAACTTTTTGCCATGAGAGCCTAGGACAGAGATGTGTTAAAGAATCATGGGAGAAAGGAGGGCCAATAGGAATAAAAGTTGCAACAGCATTACAGTGAAATAATTTTCAGTTGTACTGAAATGAAACTCTGTGCCACTCAGAACATAAGGATAATGTAGCGTTACTGTTTCTCAGTTATGTAAACCCGTGTGCTCTGATGGAAGTGGGGTTAGCTTTCATAATTACTGTGCGATTATTTCTGAATCTTACAGTATGCAAATCTGTGCTCCAATTGGCTACTAATGTCCTCAGTCACTTGAAAACATAGGAATTTGCATTTCAGTCTGTTTTTTTAACATAGTTTTTGTATAAATGTAGAGATTTTTAACTCTTGTAGTTGTGCCTATGGAACATGCTAGGTAAAAGTGCAAATAAATCTGAATAAATAGACTGTGCTATCTGTGTATATGTAGGAGAGGCGGCTAGTCTTTCTCAGCAGCATAGAGGTGAGAGGGATAGAATAGCAGAGACAGATAGCACCAAGAAGCAAGTTATTAATTCTGTGCTACTGAAGTGTGCTAACTCAGTAATAGCCATATCTTGGGCTAATAAATACTTCTGTCCTACTCAAAGCTCATTTAGTTTAAAATATGGTCATTATGTAAACACTCAACACCCTCAAATTACTATCTGATTACAAAAGCATTTAAAATAATCCCGCACTGACATTTCAAAATGTCATGTAACTTTTGCTTCCAAAGTCTCTGCTGCTTATGAAGTGGGAAGAGAGAGTCTCAGTTGTTGTGAATGACTCAGCCATCAATTTTCATTGTTCTTATTTCGACAGTTTCTAATCTTTTAAATACTAGGTTAAGCTATGTTACTTATTTACTGCCCAGGAGCTATGCACAGCCCTATTTGGCTTTAATTAAATTTGTACACACCTAGACCAGACAGAGACAGAACTTGAACTTTGACTAAATCATGTAAATGCTGCTGTGAACAAGCATGAAACACCTGATAGTTTTCTTATTTAACCCACTTGTGCCTCACCAACACTGAAAAATTAACCACAAACCCAATCTTGGCACGTCCTTTTAGCAGATGTACTTTAAGAATAAATCTAAATGTGCAAAACAAACATATGGAAATATGCTCATAAATGATCTCACTAAACAGTATCTTGCATGACAACTTCTAACCATGTCTGATATTCTTCTTTGTCTTGCTTAAAATTTAAACTACAAATATGAGGACATTGGGAGGCACATCATCATTTATACGTTAAAAAAAAAAATCTATTGAATGAACAAGTCATAGGAGATATGCAGGGCCCTTTGTTTTCAGTTTTTATTTTAATTTATCAGTGTTTATTACCACAACAAAGACCGGTGAAAACCAGTGCAAAAACTATTAATTTTTTAAAGTAAATATAGGTGTTGGTTTTGGTGGACAGAAAGACAGAGGAAAAAAAGTATTCAGTAGATTAATGCTTTGAATTCCGTTATTCAATGTGGTTTGCTGCAGAACTAAAAACACAATGCCACCTCTGAGTTTAAGAAAACAATATAGGTCTAATCCTCAAATAAAACTTTTCATTTGAATAAACAGTTTACTGTTGTAGACTTAGAACTGTTTACATTTAATAATTGGGCCTCACAATTTGCCGCGCATACACTCAGCTTCATCCTTTTTGTATTTTTAAAACTTTTGAATACTTCCTTGTGTACTGAAACATATTCTGATACAGATCTTCATTTTCTTCCCATTTTAGTGTCAGATCTTTAACCATTATCTGCTAACAGCTTGAAATATGTATGTGGTGGGCGTGAAATTCATCAGTAGGTTCAGATGCGCACGCACTTCAGAGTTTGCATGTTTGTCTGTTTGTCTACTGTGTGTATCTTCTAGACTAATACATAGTCTTACTTCAACAGGCAACTTTGCATATACACAGAGACTAATGTATTGAGACATATCTCATGCAATGTATTGTATTTGCCTACTAAAACAAGTTATTTTTTTATAAATTTGAATGATACAGAAGTAGGGTGAAAATCAGAAAAAAAATGAATACTTTTTGTAAAGCCTGGGAATTTTTTAGTAAAAATCAGTTTAAACTGAAAACAAAGGGGCTTACATATATGGCAGTTTCCTGCAATATTCTCAAAAGAACTGATTTGTATTATTGTGGGCTGGGATTGTATGTAACCTCTCTGGGGGGAGATGTGACAGATATTGCAACTCCGTGCAGTATCTTAAGGTCCATTGTTTTAAATTAATGGTTTGACTGTTTTCTACGCCATCGGGGGGGGGGGGGGGGTTCTTTCTCTCCCCCACGAAAAAAAGTAGATGATGATTAGGGCAAATCAGCCAGGTTATAACCCCCGCAGAGAAGTGCCAGCTCCTTGGGAGGCTCACATATATACTTCAAATTAGATTCTTCAGAGACTAACGACAAAGAAAGGACTTTTGGATACATAGCCTGAGTTTAAACTGACACAGGGTCTGATCCAGCAATTGACAGGACCTTCTGTCCAAGATGGGGCCCCAATCCTACTAGGGCCCTCTGCTAAACTTTTTGCCTGCTTATGTGAACTTTTATGTTTTCTTTGTAATGCTTTTACCTTAAGAATAAATATGCTTGCTTAGAAAGAGCTGTAAGATAGCTTATAACTGCTGGCAATTACACTGGTCACAGCCCTTAGAGAGAAAGCAAAGTGCAGGTGCTGGCCTTTTTAGGCAGTCTGGCTTACTGGGGATATCACAGCGTAGGCAGGGACCTGTGCAACCTTAAAGATCCACCAGTCAGGAGGGAACAAGATGCGGGTCCCCACCCAAACGAGGTGATGGCTGGGAACCAGAAGCATAAAATGGGTACTCTTGAAGGGCAATACAGGTGCAGTTGCCCTGAAATTGTGATATAAGCAAGCAGAGCTCACTGCCACAGACATTTTTAAAAGCTGGAAAGGTGGCCTTTATCTTTCAAGATGTCCCTAATTCTTAATACTAACCACCAACTTCTCTCTCCACCTAACTGAAAGTTATCAAAAGCACAGTTATTTTACCATTTGTCTTGAATTACATCTTTATTTAAAAAAAGAGAGTTATATAGGCCAGGATTTTCAAAGCCAAATTGGATGTCCAAGTCAGTTTTCCAACTTCAGTTTTACTTTCATTAAAAAAAAATCCCTGTGCTAGAGTATTGTTCCTGAATATTTCAGGGTAAGATGAGGAGTATAGCACATAAGCTCTTAGGCTTTACATTTATTTAAATATTGTTGCAAATCAATCATCAAATATTTGTTCTCTTAATAGTAATTTAATAGCAAGCAGCAGAGTATGTTTTTAATGGCCTAACTGAATTTTGACCCTCTACCATTAAGTTAATTTATGGTCAACCCAAGCTGCCATCTTGTTCAGGAAGGCCACTTTTAAATGAGGTTGATGTAAATACATGCAGTGTTGGTGTAGCCATGTTGGTCCCAGGATAATAGAGAGACAAGGTGGGTGAGGTAATATCTTTTACTGGACCAACTTCTGTTGTCAGAGAAGATTTTGAGCCTTCTTCAGCTCTGGGCTGTAAATGGGCTTAATACTGCTTCATAATATTTGTTAGAAATGAATGGATGGTTTATAACTGAAGTCATGCATTTCTCAAACTTCTCCCTCGGCAACTACCCTTTGCATTCAGTATTTAATGACTTGCTGCTCTGTCTCTCTGCTCTGACCAGGATATTGAAGAGACAATGAACACCGCTCTGAATGAACTCCGTGAGTTGGAACGTCAGAGCTCTGCGAAACACGCCCCTGACGTGGTGCTGGATACATTGGAACAAATGAAAAACTCACCCAGCCTGGCCACCTCCACAGAATCACTAAGCCCTCTCCATAGTGTAGTGCTAAGGAGCACTGAGCCTCAGATTCGACGTAGCACTAGTTCTTCCAGTGATACCATGAGTACTTTCAAGCCCATGGTGGCCCCCAGAATGGGAGTGCAGCTAAAACCCCCAGCTCTGAGGCCAAAACCCATTGTTCTTCCAAAAACAAATCCTACCATAGGACCTTCCCCTCCTTCCCAAGGTCCAACAGACAAATCTTGCACAATGTAAAAGGCTAAGCAACCCAGGAGGTGGAGTGTGTTACAGAAAGGAACGGATTAGCGATAGAAGTCAGGGTTCCATAACACTATTAGTTCATGTTTATAACTGGAGATGTTTTGTTTTTCAATGTTTTTGAATGTAATGTCTGAACTAGTATCATTAACATGGGCATTTGTATTTTGTATAGTTTCAATTTTAAAAAAAAACTGGACAATTGTGTGTCATTTTAAAACAGACTTGAAAACTTGATGCTGCACCATTTGTAATAAAAGGAACAGATCAGAAATGGCTTCCCACTTTGTACAATATTTCATAGTCTTATTGTAGTTTACTTAATAAGGGATCCTAAACAAAGGTAACTTGAAGGAATTCGTAAGTGGATGTGGAACCCGTGACCACTAGATCACTGGTTCAAATCTCAATCTGGTCGGTAAAAGCTAAAAGTTAGCATCTGAGGGATTAGTCAATGGCCTGTGTGAAGTGTGTATGTAATCTCAGTCCATATAAATTGAAATAACACTTTCACAGTTGGCACTAAGTATTTAGCATATTTTTAGTAGTCTTATCAAAAGCCAAGTGCTGAGTAAGTATGGAGACTGAATTACTCTCTTTCTGACCTCACTCCAGGTCAGGGTTAAAGTATATTGCCTGGATGGTATGAAGTTTCTAATACTGCCACTTGTGCTGTACCTTTCTTTTGAAGCTAAAATTTCAGTCCCCAGGACTGTCAGACTTTTCACAAGCACTAAATTCACTTACAGTTTACAATTCAGTGAACAAAGTAACTGCAGCAATACAGGTCTGGGGATCTTTCTGTAGTGTAATAAAAGATTGAAAGTATCAGTTGAACAATAATTCAATAAAACATTCCTTGGACCTTATTGCTCAGTATCTTCTTCAAACAATTTGAGCTGCGATAACCACAGTTTCAAGCTGCTGTATCCTCACTAGTTATCCTTCACAGTGCAAACACTGTGCATGGTTTCTCTATGATGCTTACTAAACTATTCTGCTCCTGAGTTATTGAATAACTTCTCTCAATTACACAGGAGGTTGTTAGAACCACAGAAATCTCATTTGCTATTCTCTAGACTAAACCTAAATAAAATTTGCCAGAACCAATTAAAAAAAAAAAAAAAAGTCTATACCTTTCTTGGGTCTGTGTGTGAGTGAAGATTTTATCAACTTTGCTTAGTGCTCCATTATTAAATTTTCTTATACATGTGAATTAATTGGACAGCTGTTTTGCACATTAACATTAAGCCATAACATCATTTCTGTAATTATTTTTCAATATTACTTGCCCAATCTATAGGATCATTTATAGCAGGTTTTTAATTTACGCAGCCATGCAAACTATTTATAAAGAATACCCCGTTGGCCGTTACCTAAAATACCATAGCCAAGAAACAATATCAGCTGATGGTCATCTATAGGAATAAAACTGGCTTCAAATAAGATTTGTCTTTCCTCATAGCATTTGTTACATTAGGATCTTACCATTCTTCCTATGGAATGTTTTAAGTTGTACCACTCACTATATGGAAACATAATTGGGGAGAGGGAAGAGTTAGTGTCTTGTAACAAAGATTTGATTCGTGTATTATAGTCTATATAAAGTCATAGAAGCCATGTCCTGTTGTCATTTGGGGATTTATTTATTTCCACTGTGGTTTACTAATTCTAATCACTTGATAAGGAACTCCAAGCCCTGGACATGACAAATATCCCATAAACTGCATTTGAGAGCAATGCTGTCAGGGCCATTTATTGTTGCTGATATTTGCAGCCCAAGGACTGGTCCAAAAAAACCAAGGAATCTATAAGTATGTCTGTTTGGGGGCTACCACATATATAAACTCTTAGCTAGCACAGTGGACTCTTGAGGTGTCAGTCAGTTTAATCCACTGAGGCTACCACTGTATAAACAGGGTAACAACTTGTCAAATTTATGTTTAATCTTGTATCTCTTGACTGTACCCTGCCGCCTATAGTCCTAAACTCCAGGGCAAGGTTCTAACTGAAGCTAGTCCTCATTAAAGGTTGGCCTTAGTCTATTGGTATGTTCACCTGTCCAGGACCAGAAATTATTTTCAAGTTCCCCAAACTTATTAAGATCAATGGAACAAACTGGAATTCCAGCTCTAATTTCCATAATGTTTTTAGTTTAGTAATTTGTTCAATACCAGTGTGGCATAATTGAGATGAATATCTGTATCTTTAAATTATATAGGGAATTTTGTATGTTTAAATAACACTACTGGACTCCATAATGCTTATTATTAGAAATTGTGTAGCAAAAGAAAATATTAGAAACAGTGCATTTAGTGAATGCATCCACTTAGAGCATTCACACAAGTTAAATGTGTAGTTTGATGGTTATTATAGATACTTAACGTATAGTAAGTGGATATGTAACAGGAAAGACTGACAACTACAAACATACTAAGGGGTAACTCTTGCACACCTAATCAAATCAGTATTGTCCTTTACTGTCAGTTTGATAAATTGCAGTACTGGTAGCTTCCTGCTTGTTGACTGTTACCTAATTGTGTCAATGTACATCCGTAGTATGTACATGTGAAAGTGCCTTTAAAATTTTAGAGGAGCTTTAGCCTTGCTCTTGTACTGTTGCATTTCCATTGCGTTCACTCTTGCTTGTATACTGTTGCATTTTCATTGCATTCATATCTGCTCTTGTACAGCCACATTCCCTCCATTTTCAAAAAACAAAAAAATTAAAAATACACAGTTATGGAAGAAAAAATGTACTGTTAATCTGTTGTGACAATGCACTTTTATGTATAGTACTGTACATTTTGTCATGTACCATCACAGGCTTCAGTATACATTCAGGTTTGTTCCCCATAGTGTATCTTTATAATAAAGAAGATAGTTCTGTCTGCATTTGTGTAGTCTAATGGTGTGCAATCCTCAGTACATTTTTATATGTGTATCCCCAAATGACCTTTTCCTTCTTGGTAATGTGAAATCAAGAGGTTTGAGAGGTTCCCCCCCACCATTTCCCACTAGTTTTATCAACCCCATTAGTCTTCCCAATTTCCATTTTGCCCCCCTTCCCCCAAGTGGCCTTTCCAGATCAAATCTTACTCTGAGACTAGATGACCAGATCAGAGGCACCTGCATGGGCCTTCACAAAGCCCTACCTTATCTCCATAAACATCCCCCCACTTTTTACCCTTCCCTAAAACTTACCACTGTGGCTCTCCTTTGGATGGGGCTTCATGCCAACTGCCAACACCAAGCCTTATTCTAAGGTCAGCTATCTGGAAGCTACAATACTTGCTCTCCTTCACTAAGAGGCTGAAAACCTCAAACTGGAATAGAAGTGGCTATTAGGGGCGAGACGGAGCTCAATCTGGGTTAGCCCCGAGCAAGCGCTGTCAGTTGTGCCAACGGCCATATGTTCATTTTGTAATTGGCTTAAGCAGAAACCACTGAACTATCTCATCTCTTATTTGGAAGCTGTGGTTACACTCACATTAGTTTAAAAGAAACACAGTCAATGTTTTATCCACAAACCACGCACACAGTTGGCTTTAGATTTTTCTGTCAGAGTATCTCTATGGGTCAGAGGGCTCCTACTCAAATAGACCTTCCTGAGGGATGGCCTATTTTTAATCTGGGAGATGTTACCCTGCCAAGCTCTTTCTGACCTACTTTATCTTCCTAGCTCTTCCAGGGCTTTGTGGAAGCATGAACACACAGAGCACCCAAGCCGAAATCCTGCTTAAAAATAAGTCAGCAGCAATCAAAATTGTCTTTTCCCTGGCTGTAGCACTCAAGAGCTGTAATATGGCAGGGGAGAATCACTTAACAGGCTACAGCAACAGGTAGCACTCCCAGGAGTTCTCTTCCCATCTTCCAATGTTCAGAGGATGCCATTCAACAGGAATTAAGCATCTGTGGCTGATGCTTTATGCAGTAGTAGGCTTACCCATCAGCCCATGTTGCAAACCTTTGCATTCCACTGACCAGTACCTGCCTTATGTATTTCTACTCGTTCCTTACTACACAAAAGTAAAGATTCAACCAGGCAGAGCAACATGTCATACTTTACTCAAGGCCTGTGTACTCCACAGCAAGCATGACCTAAATTCTGTAGCAAAACCCTATGCTACAGGGACTGGGGATTGTGCAGCAGTTCCAGATCAATTTTATGTTGACATTTTTTATTAAAATCACTAATGCAATCAATATAATATCCCCATATTATTTAACTTCATAACCAATTCAATGTTGTTGTACCCTGCATTTTTAATTTTCAATATGCTGCAGAATTTCGTATTGAAAATGCTTAACTATTCTAGAAGTTGCCAGGGAGCGAGGAAGAGGGAGACGGGAGACTTTGACAGGTGAGATGGGGCCCATTGGAGCTTCTGGCAGTTGGGAAAGTGAGGGGTGCTGTTTGGTTTGCTGGGGTAGTCATGTTATTAGAACAGTAAAATGATCTGCCATGAATTAGTTAATGTTGACACTGAAAATTACATCATTAGGGCAGTTCACATCACTGAAAACTAGTGTTTCAAGCTGCCTGCCCATTCAAGTGGCAAGTGCTGCCTCATTTTCACTCAGTTCACGTTTGAAAATGGCAGGGGGGGGGGGGGAGTTTGGATCCATAAGCATGAGAAACTTATTTTAGTTAAAAGCCTAGATGCTAGAGCACAATTCTGCAGCAAAGGGCAGATTGCTGCTGCAGTGGAAACCTAGACTCGATAAGGCTCTCATTATAGGGATAGCTCCTGTATGGCCAACAGGCACCCAGGTCAGTGACTGCTCCACTGTCTGAATGCAAAAAGAGATAAAGTTCTATCATAACACAGCAAGTCTGGAGGGGACAGATGGTGGTTTATAGGGTGTGAAGGTCTCAGGAAGGGGATTTAAAACTGTCCTGGCAAAATGGATTATCTGATTAACCACACTAATGCCCCTAGGAGGTAGAGGTACTGTACCCATTTTACAGGTAAGAGAGCTGAGGCACAGAGTCAGGAACTTTCCTAACATCATCTAGCAAGTCAAGGGCAGTTGGTAAAGGAAACCAAGACTGCACCCTCACAGTTCTCTGTTCTTGCACTCAGAAACCTGCATCTTCCTTCAATAAAGGTTCACACTAAAGTCTACAGTATGTCACAGAGATCAGCCTGTCCAGCAGGATTCAAGACTCGTTTTACTAAAGCCAGATGCTTTTCAGTGGACCGCACAGGCTGAAGCTGGGCCAGGCTGCAGGGCGCAGTGTGTCTCTGGGCAGCTGCTTGTGCAGCCTCAACCCCACTGGTAGCAGTGCAGGGAAGGGGCGGGGGGGGAGCAGTGATGTTTGGAGTGGGGGACATCTCCACACAACCCCGCAGACAGCCTAATGTGTCTCCACTTGCCCTGCCCCTCTAATCGGAGCAATGAGGTGTCATGTGCTCACTCTGCAACCCAATCAGAGGGCAACGCTGTCTGAGCCCTAATTCAAATTCTTCTCTGCTTTCCCTGGAGCCAGCAGGGCTGGTTGGGCCATGGGAGTTGTGACTTGTGGGCCCTGGGCCCTACGAGGCAACCCAGCTGATAAGTACCTAATGGAGTCCCACAGCATCTGCTTGTGCCAGGGCACTGAGCACAGCATGCCCCTCCCCCAGGTCCTCCACCCTGGCCTCATGCCCCCCCACCCCTGAGCAGTCCCCAGAGCCCCCCACCCTGGCCTCATGTCCAATCCTCTGAGCCCTCTCCAGCCCCCCACCCCAACCAGCCTCTTTCCCTCTCCAATCCGTCTCCAGGCACCTGCTTCTGCCACATAGCAGCCCTGGGGAGATAGGGGGAGGCTGGGATCTGGAGTCTCCTTGATCACTCCCATTACCCAGAGCTTCCTCCGCTATCCCAGCCCCCAAAGGAGCATCGCACCGCTAGCTGGATCATTGTTCAATAGCTTCACCTCCTGGCTCCGAGCTCAAAAGTACTCACTCTCACACCCTGCTTTGCTGCCCAGATCCCAGCCCCTACCCATTCCTCTCCCTCCCAGCCTATCTCGGCTACTTGGCTCACTTGGGGACAGGGAGGAATGTTTGTGAGGGAGGGTGAGTGGCAACACCAGGCGGCTCAGGCCAGCCCTGTACATCCTGTTTTCAGTTTAGGGAAATAAGGCCACCCTGCTCTCCAAGCAGGGAGCTGGCAGGCAATCGGGGGTTAGAGAAGGGGAGCTGGACCTTAACTGTACCTTGACAAAAAATAATTGATGTACTAGTGCAAAGGATCAAATGCCATCAGTTGCTCTACGGTACCAAAAAGAGTGACAGGGAGGCCTAGTTTTAAAAAGCATATACACCAAAACCCAAAACATTGCTCACCTTACTCATGTGCTTAGTCCCATGTGATTCAATAGGGCTATGTGCAGGAGCAAGGCGAGCAGAATTTGGCTGTAAAACTGTGGAATAGGAGAGTGAGCTCAGACAATACTCTGTGCTACCCAGGAGAACACAGTACAATACCATAATATCATTGGAGAGTCGGGTTTTCCTCGCATTGTTTCCAATACATATTTGTGAGAGAAAATGGTTGGCACAAGACATGCATACCCGATGTTGAAGTAAAGCTCGTTTGTGGCTAACATACTGCTCAATGACAGTCCCTCCTTACTCAAAAATTGACTCAGTAATGTTATCAGTCAATCTCAGCTTAGGCTAGTCACAATACACAGCTGAGGGTTGTTTATTTTTTAATTAACACTATTGATTTTTCCAAATATTGTAGCAATGGACTAACAATGAGAAGTACAAACTGAATCAGAGTCAATGATAAAATATATAAAAAAGGAAAATTATGCTGTTCTAAGCCAGTCACATGCTTTCAGGGTTGAAATCAATACTAGATAGTACAGTGGCATAGATAAAATAAAACAAAAAACAAACACTGTCCATCCTTATTCCCATGGAGCATATTGGGTTTTTTTGTTTAATATCTGCTGTGTACATTTTCAGTACTATGCATTAGAATCTATAAAACATTGACCAAACAGAGAAAGGGGATTTCCCATTTATTTTAATGAATTGCTTTCCAGGAGAGCTAAATCACTGAGACCAACATTCCGCTCCATAGTAGAAAAGAATGGCCATTTTTTAAGTGTCTTTTTGATCATTAACGAAGTAGCATTAACATGAAGATTGACTCTGAGGTAACATCAAGATTAAATTTCAAATGCCCTAACAGTGAGGAGCATCGAGCTCTCTTCATAACTGCTAATAATAAATCATGCTGAACAAGGCAATGACTCCCAGATATATTGGCTAGCGTAATGTGTAGTCCAATATTTTCAAAGGCACCCATTATCATGGTATCCTGGCATGACTTTATACAGCAGAGAAAAAACAGAAAAGGTGAATACAAAGGATATTCCTAATTTTCTGCCTTCCAAACAGAATTTCACTTTGACATTGATCTCAGCTCTTTAGTTGTTTTTCCTAAAAAATTGTTTCAAGCAAAGTTTTGTTCCTACAGACATTCATGGAAAGTGAATTCCAGCGCTGTAGATTTTCTTTTAATTACAAAATGAAGTTTGTTTTGTGGCTGAATTAAAATTATTCTGGGCAAGCTCAGTTTATCAAAGGTTAGATCATCCAATCAGGGAATGGACATGTAGTAGTGTGAGTCGGGGCTCTACCCTCCGAGGCGGGAGGGGAGCCACGCCGACGCACTGCAGACGTGACCAATAGCCGGTTGCTCAGGAATCAGGCCCTCTGGTGTAGGGGCTGAGGAAAACAACAATACAGGAGCCCAGGCCCTCTGGAGCAGGGGCTGGGTAAACACAACAGTACAGGAGCCCAGGCCCTCTGGAGCAG